CCTCTCCCCTTACCCGCCCCTTGACCGTGCTCCTCCTCGCCGCCGGTGCTTCACCCTCCGCGACACGAGTACCAACTGCACGCTTGTCACATGTACAATCATAAAAGCCCCCTCCTTGCACACACTAAGTGCCAACTGCACCCTTGCCATATGTGCAATTATTAAACACATTTCTACTAGATCACAAATTTCTCCATCCAAAAATGATTTCTTTTTGCAAACCGGTGCACAGTAGATGAATAGAACAAGGCCACCCTTGGAGAAAGCAAAACAACCCAGGCAAAAAAACAAAACAAAAAAGAAAGGCAAAGAAGAAAGAAAACCAGGCCGATCCCCTTCTACCCCGAGACGAAACCCACCTCCCCCCTGCCCCCGCCCGATCCAGATCTCACACTCCCCGCGCCCCCTCACCGGCGGCGACCCACCGGCCCCCGCGTGTCCCGGCGGGCGGACGCACGCACGCACGCACGCAATGGAGCAGCTCCGGACGATCGGGCGGGAGCTGGCGATGGGGTCGCAGGGCGGGTGGGGGCAGTCGAAGGAGTTCCTGGACCTGGTCAAGTCCATCGGCGAGGCGCGCTCCAAGGCGGAGGAGGACCGCATCATCTCCCGCGAGCTCGACCACCTCAAGCGCCGCCTCGCCGACCCCGACGTGCCGCGCCGCAAGATGAAGGAGCTCCTCCTCCGCCTCGTCTACGCCGAGATGCTCGGCCACGACGCCTCCTTCGGCCACATCCACGCCGTCAAGATGACCCACGACGAGTCCCTCCCGCTCAAGCGCACCGGCTACCTCGCCGTCGCGCTCTTCATCGACGAGCGCCACGACCTCGTCATCCTCGTCGTCAACACCATCCAGAAGGACCTCAGGTCCGACAACTACCTCGTCGTCTGCGCCGCGCTCACCGCCGCCAGCCGCCTCATCGGCGAGGAGGCCATCCCCGCCGTGCTGCCCCAGGTCGTCGATCTCCTCGCGCACCCCAAGGAGGCCGTCAGGAAGAAGGCCGTCATGGCGCTCCACCGCTTCTACCAGCGATCCCCTTCCTCCGTTTCCCACCTCGTCTCCAACTTCCGCAAGGTCCCCCCAAACATTTTACCTCATGTTCAAATTAGAATTTCTTTCCCCAACTACAATAGAAGTAGAATAATTTGTCCCTCTCATGCCGTAGCTTATTATCCCAGAGGCGCATGGGGTACTGTTATTTTATCTTGCTCAAAGGAACATGCGCTACTGTTAATCGTGCTAAAGTTTCATGTTTTGTATATGTTCAATTTATATTTTGAGTTGCAGCAACTAGCTATTGCCATTGCATCTATTGAGCTTGAACTGGACGTTAAATGTGAGTTCTACACACCTTAGGTCTTTCATGTCTCGTGTTGCAATTCTGGTGCAAAGATGTGGGTTCATTAAGCCTGAATATGCACCTTTTGTATCTGTTCAATGCAATTTACCGTTTATATTTAATGTAGGATAGAGCAATTTTTTTGATCTCAGACCATGACATAGAGGGAGCTCTGATAAGCAACCAGAGTGCTTCGTTGGGATTTTTAGGAACTCTTAGCAGATGTAAATGCGTTATTATTTATGAGATGGGTTTTGAGTAGTGGTGCTTATTGTTTTGCAGAGACTCTGTGATAATGATCCTGGGGTGATGGGTGCAACTCTGTGCCCACTCTATGACCTGATTTTGGAAGATCCAAACGCGTACAAGGACTTAGTTGTTAGTTTTGTTAACATCCTCAAACAAGTTGCAGAGAGGAGGCTTCCAACTTCCTACGATTACCATCAAATGCCCGCACCATTTATTCAGGTCTGTGAGCTTTACTTTTTACTTGGTCGATGTGTTCAGTGATGCTAGGTTAATAGGTAGGTTCTGATTTGGGGTTCTTTAATTGGCACCATCGTATTTCCTCTGATTTTTCTGTTGCTATTTTCAGATAAAACTATTGAAAATACTTGCTGTGCTGGGTAGCGGTGACAAGTCAGCGAGTGGTCATATGTACACTGTCTTGGGTGACATATTCAGGAAGGGTGACACAGCGAGCAACATTGGCAATGCGATATTGTATGAATGCATATGCTGTGTATCATGCATTTTCCCAAACTCTAAGATGCTAGACGCTGCTGCTGAAACAACATCGAAATTTTTGAAGGTCTTGACATTTTTTAGGGAAAAATAAATACTTTCATGATACTATGATTGTTACCTCACTAAGCTAACGCTTGCTTGCCCCAATCCTGTTTGCAGAGTGATAGCCATAATCTGAAGTACATGGGCATTGATGCTCTTGGAAGACTAATAAAAATAAATCCTGATATTGCAGAACAGCACCAACTGGCTGTTATTGATTGCTTAGAGGTGAGGAATGTGAAAACTTATCATCTTAAGAATATATTTCAATTAATAGGCTGTCTATTATGCTGATGTCATCCATATCAAATATATTTGTTGCTTGGTGTAATAAAATGAATGTAAAATCCTTCATTAAAATCATGTTCCGGCTGCTGAACTTAATCTTGTTGGAAATGGTGACATGCTGTTCATTTTCATGTTCCCTTGTATCAACTCTAGGAGGAAGTAATTATAGTGAGGTAAAAGCTATATCAAATTGTTTGATTCAATGTGCTTACCAGTTACCACTCTACCTAGTTTATTTGCCATTATGTCATATCCATTTCAGTTATTATCCGTGGTCTTGTTCGATGCATGTAATTGCATCAGCATTTCTGTTTTTGTATTCCGATTTCTCACCCGTTAGATGCTCTTATGAATAGGACCCTGATGACACTCTGAAGCGCAAGACCTTTGAGCTTCTTTATAAGATGACAAAATCAACTAATGTTGAAGTGATTGTTGATCGGATGATCGAGTATATGATCAGCATAACTGATCACCATTATAAGGCAGAAATTGCATCACGTTGTGTTGAGCTAGCAGAACAATTTGCGCCCAGCAATCAGTGGTTCATTCAGGTAATCTATGAGTATCTGTGTATTTCTTGTCAAGCACTTGATGTAATTTTCATGCGGTGGTTGCTTAATTTTTACTTTTTAGAAGGTCCATTAATTCCTTCTATTATTTTCCAGACCATGAACAAAGTCTTTGAGCATGCTGGGGACCTTGTCAACATTAGAGTTGCACACAATTTAATGCGGCTTATCGCTGAAGGATTTGGAGAGGAGGATGAAGGTGCTGATAGTCAATTGAGATCATCAGCTGTATGTACTCTCAACTATTCCTGTAACCCCTTGCAGCTGAGTTTGTTAATGCTAAACGTGATACTGCTAGTATGGGCATTTTTAACTGTCGTGATCAGCTAATGAGCTATATATCTTGGGATGGAAAAAGAATGTTCGCACTGAATTGGCCACATTGGGTGCTGGAGGGAAATTAAATGTTATTTATGCTTCAGTTGCTGCTATGTTGTTGTGCTTGATATTGTGGAGTATGCCAACAATACTCTAGGAGCCTCCTCAACTGGATGCACGATTCTTTGTTTTAGGATTTTCTCACTGCTTGATCAGTTATATAACTCTCTCCTTCTTTAACAGGTCAATTCCTATCTCCGGATTCTGGGGGAGCCAAAGCTTCCGTCCTCATTTTTGCAGGTAATTGATTGGTTTGTTTTTTCTTTCTATCCCAAGGTGAGTTTTGGGAGGTAATTTATATCGTTTCCCTTTACTTTCAGATCATATGCTGGGTTTTGGGGGAATACGGAACAGCAGACGGGAAGCATCCTGCTTCTTATATCATCGGGAAGTTATGTGATGTGGCAGAGGCCCACCCAACTGATGACACTGTTAGGGTATGCTCTTTTTTTGCCTAACACAGTTGGAGTTGCTTTGGTCAAGCTGAAATAGTACCTGTTATATTTGGTTGTAGTGTCCATTTACCATTCAGGAACAGTTTTTGCAATTTACAAAGTACTTCATGTTGTACATATCTGTTATAATCAAAACATTTACAGCATAGCTATTCAATACTCCCTCTGTTTTTATTTACTTCGCATATATGCTGAATTCAAACTTTGTAAATT